ACAGACAGACAGACAGACAGACAGACAAGACATGTGCAGACAGACAGGCACACAGAGAAAGAAAGTAAAGATGTCGTCTACTTACGGTATAAAAGCACTACATACAAGGACGGCCACATTTTGGCCAACGAGATTAGGAAAATACACATACAGACTTCTACATAAGTTAATGACCACCTTGACAGACAGCTCTAATTTTTTAAAATCCAAAAAAAGACGGCAGCGAATGTTTCAAAATGTTTTGCCCTGAAAGTGTTGTGTTCATGGTTTAACAATAACGTACTACAATGCTCTCTAAAGGGGCAAAACCACAACGTGTGGAGAGGAAATCTTCGGGGAATTTTTGCCAAATTTGCGAGTGGTCCTGAACTTATGTTGACGTCTGTCGTAAGCATAGAAAAAAAGGAGTAGAAGTAGAAGCGGGCCACTCCAGAACGCCCACGATCATCTACGACCGACAGAGGCATACTTACATCCATGGATATAGATATAATTGAAAACAGGTAGAAGACGCAAACCACACAGAACACCCACAAACCATCTGCGACAGACAAACAGATAAATACAGACACACATCTACAGAAATAGAGCATTGTAAACATGTAGAAGAATCGGACAACACTAGAACTAGAACACCCACAAACCAGCTGCGACAGACATACAGATAAACACTTGAACATAGTCGTATATATCCATAGACAACGTTTAACTTAAAAACGGACAGGTAAATACAAACATCGATTTAACAGCTGTTGCACACTTACCCAAATATGTCACAAAAGATGTCGGAGAAGAAGAAAGGATAATCCGGACTCAGCTCCCAATCACGAGGAAAACTTCAGCTTCTTTGATATATCATGAACAACCTGAAATTGGGAAAGAAAAGCAAACCGTGAGAAATTCAAAAAGGCAGCGAATTGTTGAACGTGCACTTTTGTGTGGAGAAGTATTTGGGCGGTGAGGCAAAAAAAAAATAAAAAATGAAACAACTTGCAGGTTTCTGTTACAAGATGGGGGGAATTAACCACGATTAAGTTTTCTTTTCATGCGTTTAAGATTCCACTTTCCTCTTATTTCTTTTCATGCATTCAGGATTTCACCCCCGCCTCCCATATATATATATATATATATCCCTCT